TGTGTATATAAATCCAATCTACAAAGACTATGGGGGTACAACATGGTGAATGTTTTCAGTGAAAGACTGCAAAAAAAAAAAGTTATGCTCAAATCTCAAAACTAAAAGACAACTAGAAGAAAGCAGACTTGATTGTGAATTTGAATTCTTGTCAAACAATACATTAGTTAAGAGCCAACATTTTTGACCACTGCAGAAATAAAAATATAAAGTAATTTATCTGATCTGCTAAAGCAAATATATCATGTGTGCATTTTATGCCAAAAGAATTAACATCTTCTGAGAAGAATGAAATTTCAACCCAAAAATACTATGAAGAAAATTAAATACACCAATTTTCTAAAAGGTAAAGACTGTTCTAACCGTCAAAATATTTTTTCAAAACAGGCTCAACTAGCAAGGAGAGGGTCACAGAAAAGCTTAATCTTAAAATTCTCTACAGTTTAAAAATGAATGTTGTGCAATGTAAATTTATATTTAAATGATGAAATTTAGTTTCTACGCCACTTAAAATGGAGAGGATGCTGTGTTACAGAATCTACGGGTAAAAAATCAGCGCAGGCAAGCAAAACACATTTGTATTCAAGTCACATAAAGCTGTTGCTATAATCTGTCAACCCCTCAGCCATTTTTTTGGCAAAGAGTTTATGCACTGTAAATCTACACTGACTAAACAAATAGGGCAGGAAAAACCACCTCAACATGTGCAGGAGATAGGTTATATTCTCATACAGGTTCTAGGAACTCCGCAGGGTAACTACTGAAAATGGACAGAGCCTGCAGTGCTGTGCAGTTTCTCCCATGAAGGTGTCAAAGCAGAGACAGTTTCTGGTTTAGCCTAAATCTCTACAACTCCGAGGAGGGAGAGATTTCTGATACAATATCCACTTGAGCTCTGTATCAAGCAATCCTGTAAGGCTTCAAGTTGAAGTCAAAGGAGCCAGAGAATGTGCTTCAGTCAATAAAATGAAGGCTAACCAGAGAAAGCAACCAGATACCTCTATATATACACCAGTTCTGAAACTGAAAATGGATAATATTCCAAAATAACAGATTCAAATCACCATTTCCCAATTAATTTTAGTTGGTGGCATCTGTTTATTTAACAAACCCAAGATACAAAATTACCTGAACTGTAACACCAAGGACTCTTGCTTTATAAACTTACAGAATAATCATTAGTTTCTACATAACCCAACTAGTATCTTGAGAAAAATCTCAAAGCAACAACATGCCCCAAAGAGCAAAAAAAGTAACTGAAGTATCCTTAAAAAAAAAAGAAAGAAAGAAATACTAAATTTCAAGCAAAGAAAAAGGTAATTTCCCTAACGTCTACTAATTCCTACACAACTCATGTAAATGACTAGAGTTAACTGAAGAGGGTGGGGGGAGAGTTAGAAAGAGACTTAAGTACTTTAAGCCCCAAGGGGAGATTTTTTTTTTAATCCACTGCCATCTATTTACTGATACTCTTTAACTAGGATTCAACAATTGATCTCTAAACCAATTTTCTCATCTACAAAATTGGAAGGATGCCATTACTTACTCCCAAAGTTATTAAGAATTTTAAATGATATGATTTGTGATTCAGCACAAAGAAGATTCTTGAGACGATTAAGTTGAAACCTAAAGCAAGCTGGACTTCACAAGTATTCCAAGACCTCAAAATCTCAAACCACCACCCTAATTCAATAAACATAACTAAGTCTGGTATGTTAGAACTACGGTCCCGATTTCCAGTTGCTTGAAATTTTTAAAGATCACTAACTTCTATAAGAAACAGAGCTGATGGGACAGCACTTGAAAAAAATCAGCCTAACTTGGGCTTCCCTCTAACTTAAGTTTCACTTAAGAGCAACAGCTAAAAATGTGTGTATCACTCCTCTGCATCTTATTTGTAAATGCTTTTTCCAGAGGCTTCACTGGTTACCAATCCCATATTCTGACAACAACAAAAGTACAGTCAAACCCTCTAAGATAAATCTCCATTAAATTTCAACTTTGTGTCTCAAAACTATAGTGTTCTGCAACTACTTCATATAGAAATACTGTCTTTAAAGACAAAGTGAATAAAAATAAATGTTTTTCCTTGTTCATACAAGGGTCTTTTCAAGTAAAACATAAATATGGAGCTTTCAGATTTTTTAAAAAGTATGTGCAAAAGCATTCAAACATTTACTCTTCCCTAGTGCCACCAAAGTTCAATGATGTTGTAAATGGTTTCTGTCTATAAATTTGGTTCGCTCAAATTAAATATTACTTGCCTGACTCATAGAGGGAGTGGTTTGACTTCTGCTGTTCTGAGTCAGAATATACCCGGTTCAGCAGCTCTAAACAATTTTTCATTTGTAAGGTGGTCTAAAATGCTAGCAGCCTTTTCCAGCTACTAAATATAACAAACTGTTACCTCAGTAGTTAAGTCTTAGTGATAATAACACTTTGAATTGTAGTCCAATTTATAATAACGAAGTACTTTCATATTTATTTTCTTCACAATCTCAGTCTCCTGAAGTACATATATCACAAAGCTGAAGAGAAAGATTTTTACAAAAGACAATTTTCTGTGACTCTCAGACCCAATTGATACACTCTTCTTCTTTCCCCCCAAATAAAAAACATAATAAAAGTCTACTGGGTTTCTTTAATCAGACTTTTCTCTCCCAGACATATCCCAGGTGCCTCATAAAACTCTGTCTCAAAGCACACACCCTAAGGCCCCAAGTGAGTTCCAAGGCAGAATCTCCGCCCACATAAAAGCCTATCCTAACTTAGGCCCCAAAGAGCGTCAAGTCAGCATCTCCTTAAGGAGCTACTTGCCTCCAGCCGCTCAGTCTTCTGCATTAACCTCAACACCTCTTACCTGTACAAGCTGCTAGGTCACTGTGTGGAGGAGAAACTTCAAAGAGAGACAATCTAGCGTGAGGGAAGTTAATGGTATAGTGGAAAAGTCAAAGACTTTGGAGTCAGACTGACCTGGGTTTTTAATCTAGCTCCCATTCTTATTACGTTCTGACCTGGGACAAGTTAATTAACCTCTTTGAGTCTCCGTACTGCCTCATTTCATCACTGTAAGTCAATGAGGGCTCATCACTGTATCCCTAGTCTGACGAATAGAAACCATATGTGTCAAATAAATGCAAAGGAGAACACCTACCTACCACCTTTTAACAGTAGCTGTGAGAACTGAACAAGAGTATAAAAAGCACCTGGTACACAGTAGGCACTTAATACTAATTAATCCAGTCACCCACCGAATGATAACAATACTAGTCACTGTTTCTCAAAGTAGAGAGCATGCTAATGATCAAGAAAAGGACACCGCAAGAAAAATATAATTTCTGACTTCTAATTACACATCAATGCTTTTGCTTATAGTTCTATCACATTTAATACCAAAAGGACCACACTACTCTTTGCATATACTGAAAAGACTTCCAACTTCTAAGAGACTTCTCATCATTTCAGAATAAAATCTGTATCAAGGCACTCTTCATCAAGAACCCCTACTTCCTTCAACACAAGAATCTGGGAAAGTCCATGGCAATGATTAGTCCATTCACTATACAACATGAAACTACTTTTAAAATGAAGACCAGCAAGCAACTTTTCACCATCTTCACCAACACAGTGATTGTGCTGGCAAGTGATGATGAACCCTTAATTTCCTTTTGCATGTGGAATAAGGCATAACTTCACTAACTTCCTGTCTGAAACGACTCTGTAACACAGAGCAAGGCAGCCAGTAACTACCAGATTTAATCCAGCAGTAGCTACAACTTGGTGACTCCACACAGAAAAGCATTTGCTGAATGCATACAATGATGCTAGAACCGGTATTTTATATATTTCTTGAAAAATTCTAGAAACTAATAAACTACCCTATGATTGATCTTCATCATCAACATGCTACACCATTATTATTACTATTATTTCTTAAAAGCTTCTCTCCAGAAGGGTAGCAAAGAGCTAAAACCTAAAACACATTTCTTATATTTACCTAACAATAAAACACCTCTCACCTGAAAAACTAGCAGTACTTTACAAAAGAGTCTATCTGAACACTCAAAAGGCAAGAGTCTAGGATCCCAGGCAATACACAAACTTGTTTTAGTTAGCTTTCAGAACCCAGACTAGGGTGGGATGCCAACCAATCATGTGCTCGACAAATTTGGAAATTGATGTCCATGTCCTGAAATATTGGGGGGGGGGGGCCCGCGGGGGGAGGCACAGGGCCAGAAAATGATACTGCCACTGAAATAGACTTCTGTACCCTTTGCGCATACTTGAGCCCAAGGACCCAGGAACAAGATGCTCCTGGAAAGAACTCCCTAACCCAGGACACCCAGGTTCACTATGGCCCTAGAAAACGATCAAGGAGGGCCCCCAAGCATGTCTGCCCACAGACTGGACAATCGCAGGCAGACACTTCCACGCTACCTCATCCGCCTGCCCTTCACCTTCTCCCCGAGCTCTCTCTCACGCAGCTCTCAACGTTCTCCCGCCCATCAACTCTACCCCTAGCACGCAAACTCTCCCTCCCCGACGTACTCACTCTCCCCATTTACCCCACTCTCCCACGCACAAGCATTCTCCCCCGACTCACCCGTTCCCACACGCTCCCCGCTCCCTCTCCCCTAGGCTCACCTCCCACCCTCCTGACACTGTACCCCCTACCGCCCCCCACTCACACTCCCCCTCACTCTCCTCTGCAAGCACACACACACACAGCCCCCCAACTCCCCCATCTGCACTTTCTCCCCCGCCACGCTCTCCCCACATACACACTCAGCCCTGTTCCCCAACTCACACTCTCGCCTTCACGCACGCACATCCCCCCCTCCCACTCCACATTCTTGCACACAGCATTCGCTCCTCTCCCCTCCCACACGCGCGATCCCCCCCCTCACCCACCCTCGCTCTCCACGCTTCCCGGCCGCGCTCCCCCCGCCCCCGGCCCCGGCCCGGCCCTCCTTCCGGGGACGTGTCTCGGGCCTGCACTAATGGCTGCGGCGCCTCCCGCCCTCCCCTGCCCCGAGGCCCCGGGAGGCGGCGCGGGGGGCCGCCCGGGAGCCGCGCAACTCACGCTGGCGAGCTGGGGACTGGGCATTGAAGTCTGGCGGCGGCGGGAGCGAGGAGGCGCCTCTCTCCTCAGTCACCTCGGCGGCGGCGGCGGCGGCGGTAGCGGTGGCGGCGACGACTCCCCCCCAGCCTCGGCGCGCGACACCCGGCCCGGCCCGGCGGCGGCGGCGGCGGCGCGTGTCCACGAGTCCGTCTTGCTGCTGCTGCTGCTGCTACGGCCGCCGCTGCGTCTCCGGCTGCTGCCGCTGTCCCCGCTGCCGCCGCTGCCCTGTGGCGTCGCCTCGCGCCGTGACCGGCCGCCGCTGCCGCTCCAGCCGCTACCGGACGGACGACGGTTACAGCCCGGGCCGATCGCGCCGCCGCCACCACCACCGCTGCGCGCGCAGCCGGAACCAGCTCCCGCCGCCGCCCCTCAGGGGGCGCTGCGGGGCGCGGCGCGCGCGCGCGCGCCCGCCGGCCCGCCCTCCGCGCCTGCTGACTGGCTGGCCGACCGGCTCTAGGCGGTGGGGCCCGCCCACCTGCCCCGCGGGGCGCTGACCCACTGCCCTGGGCGCCTCCCCCGCTCCTCCTCGTGGTTCGTTCCGTTCAGCACTTCTGGCTGCGGAAGGCGCGTCCATGTGACAGGGAAGGGAGGGGGGCTGGGCAGAACATGACCGGGGGAGTCATTCGCCCACGCCGTGGCCCGCCCATCCGCACCTGGGCTGAGCAAGGGCCGGAGGCCGCGGCGTGACCCTCAAGGTCGAAGGGTGTTTTCCCGTGACCGGGCCGTGAGGCCTGAGGCCAGCCCCTGATGGGACGAGCCCTTTGCTCGGGGATTTCCAACCCAGAAGTGAGAACCGGGACAGCTCAGTTCTTGGCTGCCCTTTCTCGAGGCCCCAAATAAATGGCGTGTGCGTCTGCAATTGCTCAGGATATTTCTGCGTGCCCCTACCCTCACTCCCCGCCCGCGACACATACACACGCGCGCGCTCGCGCGCGCGCGGACCTAGGAATCCGTAGGAGATCGAAATTCAAACTTCCGGGAGATAGCATCTTGGGCAAGTTATTTCCTCTCTGCGTATTTTCAACTATTAAATGAAAATGATTATCAGCTACCTCATGGGGCTCTTTTCATTATGTATGAAATATGCGTGATAAAGAGAAGACCCTGAATTTAAAGACGGATTATTCTAGAGCTCTCAGTATTCTCTCTTGCATTTAGAAGGTGGGCAGAAATTCTTTGTCGAACCATGAATTAGGAGTTTTGGCTTGGAAGATGTGGTCACCAGTGACTTGGGAGATTGGTCTGGGCCACTGCCAGATGGCAGCAGGAAAGAAGCACTGGAGGCTTACCCTTGAGAGCTGGGAAAAAGGGGCAAGGAGCTCTGTCCTCCTCCTTCACCCTGGGAAGCCTCATCTTCTCAGAATTGCCATTCAGACGCTAAGAAGTGGCCTACTCTTTGCAACCCCATGAACTGCAATATGCCAGGCTTCCCCGTCCTTCACCATCTCCCTGAGTTTGCTCAAACTCGTGTCCATTGAGTCAGTGATGCCTTCCAACCGTCTCATCCTCTGTGGTCCCCTTCTCCTTTGGTCTTCAGTCCTAGCATCAGGTCTTTTCCAATGAGTCCCCTCTTCACATCAGGTGGCCAAAGTATTGGACCTTCAGCTTCACCACCTGTCCTTCCAATGAATATTCAGGGTTGATTTCCTTTAGGATTGGCTGGTTTGATCACCTTGCATCAAAGGGACTCTCAAGACTCTTCTCCAGCACCATAGTTTGAAAGCATTTTTTGGTGCTCAGCTTTCTTTATGGTCCAATTCTCACATCTGTACTGGAAAAACGATAGCATTGACTATACAGACCTTTGTTGGCAAAGTGATGTCTCTGCTTTTTTAAATGCTGTGCTGGTTTGTCATGGCTTTTCTTCTAAAGAGCAAGCGTCTTAATTTCATGGCTGCAGTCACTGTCCTCAGTGACTTTGGAGCCCAAGAAAATGTCATTGTTTTTCACTTTTTTCCCCATCTATTTGCCACGAAGTGATGGGACCAGATGCCATAATCTTAGTTTTTGGAATGTTGAGTTTTAAGCCAGCTTTTTCACTGTCCTCTTTCACCTCCATCAAGAGGCTCTTTAGTTCCTCTTTGCTTTCTGCCATTAGAGTGGTATCATCTGCATATCTGAGGTTGTTGATATTTCTCTCATAACAAGCAAGTGTTAGTCACTCAGTTGTGTCCAACTGTTTGTGATCCCGTGATCTGTAGCCCACCGGGCTCCTCTGTCCATAGGATTTCCCAGGCAAGAATACTGGAGTGGGTTGCTATTTCTGACCCAGGGATTGAACCCATGTCTCCCACATTGCAGGCAGACTCTTTACCACTGAGCCACTAGGGAAGCCCATATTTCTCCTGGCAATCTTGATTCCATCTTGTGAGTCAGTCAGGCACCTATCTAGAAGGTACTCCTGCCCCTTGGGCTGCCTCTCCCCAACCCCCTCACCCCAACACACATATTCACTTGGCCCTGTGGGGAGAAGCAGAAGAAGTACACCTTCCCCACAAGGTCGACCTGGGACTTTGCTCTTGACAAGAAGGCATCCATTACAGTTTAGCAGTAAAAGGAAAGGTCTTATGACTCAGCCACCTCACACCACAGCACAGATCCCAGGATGTTCATCACCAGTAGGTGGCCCAGGAAAAGTGAAAGTGAAGTCACTCAGTCGTGTCCGACTCTTTCCGACCTGACCCCACGGACTGTAGCCTACCAGGCTCCTCTGTCCATGGGATTTTCCAGGCAAGAATATTGGAGTGGGTTGCCATTTCCTTCTCCAGGGGATCTTCCCAATCCAGGTATCGAACTCGGGTCTCCTGCATTGTAGGCAGACGCTTTACCGTCTGAGCCACCAGGGAAGGAGGAGATAGGTATTCCAGGGCAAAGCTGGCTGGTGGGCTGTGTGGGAGTTGAGAGGCCTTGAAGCAAGAGGGGCTGCAGATCAGAATCCAGGCCTTCTGGGTGAAGAACACAGGCTCAGCTCTCACATTCTACCTGGCTCCAGCAGACAGCCTTTTCTACTTCCTGAAAGCACAGGTTTGAAACAGAGAACTACCTGCTCTGCAAAACTTTTGTTGAGTCTCCTGGTTATTGATTCTTTTGCTGAAGTCCCAAAACACCTTATGCAATCCCCTATCATAGCCTGTATCACATGTTTTATAAATGCCTATTTTCATGTTCTCCCATATTTATACTGTGTTACTTGAGGCAGCGTAGCAGACTGTTGAGTAAACAAATGAATCTTCCCCCTGTCCGGCTCTCAGTCCAGCCCTAAAATGTCAGTTAATAATGTAATAGCAACATAAAAATATTAATAGCCATCATAACAGGTACTATTTATTAAGCATCTACTCTATTCTAAGCCTGCACAAGGTGTTTTAAAATATATTATCAAGTTTACTCTTCAAAATAACCCTGTGAGGAACTGGTTGTCATCCTCGTTTTCAAAGGAATTGGACAGAATTCCCTGGCAGTCCAGTGGTTAGGACTCCACGCTTTCACTACCAAGGGCTTCAATTCCTGGTCAGGGAACAAAGATCCTGCAAGGTGCCTGGCGCAGCCAAATAATAAAGAGAGATTGGAGGCTTAGAGAGACAAAGTGACAGAAGCAGAATTCAGCCCATGTCTGCTTCTGAAGCCTACATAAGCATAAGGTTAGCCTCTGACTCCAGTCAATAACTGGTGTGTGTCAAATTAAGCTGGAATCCCTTCTAAGATGTTGGCAACACCCTCCTCTGGGAGAAAAAGGCCTGAGACCATGGCACCACCAACTCCCCACACTCCCAGGACAGCAGGGAAATGCTTGAACATGAATGACCTTATGCAAATGGTTTCCCAAGGAAAGCTGCACACCTCAAACAGATCAGGAACTGGGCTGCAGGCCCCTTATTACGGTGTGAACCACCCTTGGCAGTGAGTTTTACACATAATAAGTGCTCTGAGTCTATCCAGCGCCTTTGCTGAAGCATTCCAAGTGCCATTAGGTTATTAATCCTTCCAGCACCCCTGTGAGGCAAATTTGGCGGTCTTCTCAAATGATTTTATGAAGCATTAGCTCCTTGAGAGCAGGAGCTGTGGGGGCCTGCCACACACAGGGGTTGGAGAAAGAAATAACAGTAGTGTGGCTAAGAAACCGAGACCCTTAGGGAAGTGGTTTTACATAGAAGTGGGGGCACAACGCAGGTGCCTGGTTCCCACCGTGAGACCCTAGACTGTTTCATCAGGCATCCTTGCGTTGCCATTTTATTGCTTTGTAACTTTGGGAAGTTACTTCATCTAGTCTCGATTTCTCCACTTGTAAAATGGAAAAGGAAACAGTACTTACCTCATGACATAGTTTTGAGCATTACAGGACTAGTGTATATAATTCAGGTAGCACCATACTGGACACATAGTAAGTGTTCAATAAACGTTAGATACTATTACAGTCGTGAGAGTGGTACATGGAACTGTGGGATGAGTAAAGGGCATGAGCTTTGCTACTACTGAGTCCATAGAGTTTATTTCAAAACTGCAGGCTCTGCAGTTCTGTGATCTTGGACAGATGACTTAACTTCAGGAATGAACCTCTGTCCTCATCTGTGAAATGGGATAGCTCTGAAATGAAGATCTTTGAAAATGCTCTGTAAACTGCCAAGCACTACACAGACATTAACCGTGGTTTTACACTATTACTCTACAGGAATCCCAGCTCAGCCCCACAAATTGCCAACTTCTAAAGTTGCTTCCCTGGTGGTCCAGTGGTTAAGGGGGTGCAAGTTTGGTTCCTTGTCTGGGAGCTAAGATCTCACATGCCTCCTGGCCAAAACCCCAAAACATAAAACAGAATCAATATTGTAACAAATCCAATAAAGACTTTCAAAACGATCCATATCAAAAACAAAACAAAACACCTTAAAGTTGCCTGTTGTGTAATAGGGCAGTGATGATCATATCTATCTCAGGGGGTTGCTGTGAAAAAATAAATCCTTAAAGGCTTCCCTGGTAGTTCAGCTGGTAAAGAATACGCCTCCAATTTGGGAGACCTGGGTTTGATCCCTGGGTTGGGAAGATCCCCTGGAGAAGGAACAGCTACCCACTCCAGTATTCTGGCCTGGAGAATTCCATGGCCTGTATAGTTCGGTTGCAAAGAGTCTGACAGATTGAACGGCTTTCAGTCTTTAAAGACATATTTAAAGTACCCAGCATGGTAGGAGGTAGTCCATACATGTTAATTCCCTATCCCCTAATAGATGTTGCCTTTCAAAATCTTCAAGTTAAGGAAGCTGCAGGGTTTGGTAGGAAATCTAGAGAACCAACAGAGCTGGGATTATTCCTGACTCTGCCACTGTGTAACTTTGGGCAAGTCACCTAACCTCTCTGCCTAGGTATCAGGAGATAAAGTATGCCTACACTGCGAAGTTTTAGGGAGAAAAGACAGAGCCGGGGCTTGCCTAATAATACATGCGAGCTACTGACCAATGCACAGAC